CTCCTGCCACTTTTCTGCTGTAAACATTCTCATTAAACTAATTACCCAAGTACATAAATGGATTGGGGGTTGGTGGGGGTGCTGTAATTTACAGAATTCTCCCAAGACAGAAAGCTCGGGTTTATACCCCGACTCTGTGACTTTTCATGAATTAGACCAAGTCACTTTACCTCAGATGAGTTTTCTTATAGAGTTGTTTCAAAGATCAAATACGATAAAGAATACAGAAAAGCTCAAAAATAAAAAAATGCACCAAATAACGGCAAGCTGTGGTTTGCCACAGGACCAAGACAGCCAGACCACTGGACAGTAATGTAGTCATCTCTCTAGACTGAAGACCTTTCAAACTGAGAACAATGATCAGTTTACCTGAAAGATTTTGTATGACAGGTTTTGGTAGAGACTTAAATAAAGTCACCTATATTTATTGCAGCATTATTCACAATTGCTATAACACGGAATCAACCTAAAAGTCCCAGAACAGATGAATGGATTAAAAAATGTAGCGCACGCACACACACACACACACACACACTACAGAATACTACTCAGCCATGAAAAAGAATGAGACCCTGGCATTTGATCAAAAGTGGACTAATATGGAACACTTAATGCTGAGTGAAGCAAGCCAGACTATGAAAGAGAAACACTGTATGTCCCCACTTAATATACACTGAATGTCTGCACTCTATGACAGAAACTGAAAGGTGGGAAAGTAGAATGGCGCAACTGTAGATAACAGAGACCGCGTGGGGGGTTGGGTGGGAGAGACTGAATCAAAGGTGAATAAAAAGAAGAAACAAAACCATTTAATGAATACAAAAATGGAAAATTATCTGATGATGACAATGTATATGGTAATATCTTTGACTGGACTAACAATGTTCATACTGAAGAGAAACACTGTATGTCCCCACTTAATATACACTGAATGTCTGCACTCTATGACAGAAACTGAAAGGTGGGAAAGTAGAATGGCGCAACTGTAGATAACAGAGACCGCGTGGGGGGTTGGGTGGGAGAGACTGAATCAAAGGTGAATAAAAAGAAGAAACAAAACCATTTAATGAATACAAAAATGGAAAATTATCTGATGATGACAATGTATATGGTAATATCTTTGACTGGACTAACAATGTTCATACTGGGAAAATCCATTTTGTATGCTGTAAAGATATACAGCAATTGCATGTAAAAAGAAGAAGAAAAGGAAAGAAAAATAAATAAATAAAATCATTAATAACCACAATTCACAACTTTGACTTGTTTTCCAAGGTCTACCCAGATTCTCTGCAGTTGGTAATACTTACGCAGATCTGCCTTCCACATCAAGTTTGCCTGGGTTGACTCCCTTTTTAGCAAGGATTGAGGACACTTTTTCTACATCACCCCTTTCTGCTGCTTTCATCAATCGATCATCATATTTATTCCAATCTGCTGCATGCTAAGAAAAGAAGAAAAAAAAAGGTAAACATGGATACCAGAGTAGTAAAATTTCCTAAAAAAGAAAGAAAAAGAGAAAACAGTTCTGCATAATACGTCAGTTTTCCAGCTTTCCTTCTCCCTGCCATGCTAACATCACTAGAACAGTTATAGAATCTTCCCAAAACATATAATGTAGCCAAGAAATATTTTGGATCATACTTTAAGAAAAAGCATGTTTCTCACGTTCTCTGCCCCATTCTCTTGGCCTTCGGGAGAGAGAAGAAGAATGAATACTTGTTGAATACCTACCCTGTGTCAGGCATGAAAGTCTCAAATCACCCTCTTAAACTAAAATGATCATCTCCATTTAACAGATGGGAAGTTAGGGCTCTGGGGATTTGAATGACTTACATGGTCAAGCCCAACCACAATTTCTGTAGTTCAAAATAGGTGTATTTTTCCTGTTCCCTAACTCACACTTTCAGCTTTGACAAATCTAAACTTGAAGAGGTTTCTCCTAGAACCCTTACTGCACTGGAATTCTGTGCATATATTTTAAGAAACTAGCCCCCACCCCAACCCCCTCATTCACACAAACACGCACACACACACACACACACACACACTTAATTAAAAGATACTATTGGAAATTTTATTTATGGAGCCAAATTAATCACACACATACACAATAGTGAAAACAATTCTCTATTGTGATGAAAAGAAACTTCTACATAGAAAAAATGACTCTAAAGTATTAACTACTTAAAAATTAAAAAAAAAAAAACGGGATTCAATGTAACTTGTTCTCTCCTCTCTTTACATTCGACATGCACTGCTTTGGGGAAAAAAAATTTCTTATTTTAACAAAATCTTCATGTACATGTTTAAAACATCAGATCTACTTGATCTACTAGAAGATCAAAGGTACTTTTTAAATTTGGAGGACTTATCACATAATACACACTTTCTGTTAACATATCTTTAAACTATGATTGGTGAAAATATATTCAAGGCATTCTTAAGTCAGTAACTGTGATCTTTTCTCAATAAGCAGAAATGTCAGAACACAAAACTAAAATGTATCAATAAGTCATTCACACAGGTAAGAATTTTAACTTTTAAAAATAGCATACTGGGCCAGCAAGCAGCATGGTGGTTAAGGGCGCTGGACTCCCACAAGGCTGACTGTGGTTCAAGTCCCAGACCTGGTGGCTTCCTTTCTCACTTTCCCTCTCTCTCACTCTGTCCCTTTCTGATCAAATTTAAAAAAACAAGCAAGTAAGTAAATAAGATTAAATAAAAATAATTCTAAAAAACAAAATCATACTAACACTGCTAAATTCTGTGCTATATCCAGTATCATTTCTAGAACAGCAACAACAAAACTACATATTTTTACTTAATATGTAAAAATAAATCAAAATCCTAAGCATATAAATACCATAACAAATCTCCAGGGGGAAAAAAGTGAACTGCTTGTACATCCTCTAAATGTTTATGATTCAGTATGATTCTTTTATATCTACTATCCCCTCTAAATTAAAAAAGTGAAAAAAAGAAACCCACCATCACCAATTTTGTAGTTAAATAAGCAAGTGTTTAACTGCAAAAGTACTCATTAAGTGCTTGAAGTGGAAATGAATATGAGATTTGAATAGGAAATAAGATAAATTAAGATTTGAACTCACTCCTGAAATGTAAACCATTTCACGGAGCCTGGGCCAGGTACCCACACCTCAGAACCTGGCCTTAGATTAGTTTCATCTGGTCATGAGCCCACTTCCTCCCACTCTGAACGTTAATCTGCCAGCTAAGAAGGAGCACTATGGGCCCCAAGGCTTCTCTACACTTGGGCATCAGGGATCTGCAGCTTTGCAAGGAAGTTTCCCAGCTCAAACCTGGGGGGGTGGGATAGAGGCTCAACAGACACCGTTTTCAAATGCCGAAGGGATTAGGTCTCCTTTAGCACAAAACCTCCGTCTGAATGGGTTCACCCTTGCAGGTAAGCACTAGACTTCTAAGGAAACTTGCTGGTGGAGCTATGTAAATCACAGAACAACTGTTAAAATCCCCAGTAAGGCGTCTATAAACACAATTAAATGTGAGGAGTCCCATTAGCATAGCAGTTTCAGTTCTACACCAAGCGCTGCTTTGAGTTCTGGCCCAGTGGCAGTTAGCAGTAATGCCGGTCAATTATAAGATTCCATCCTGTGCCTTTTAAACCCAGAGAAAGAAACAAGAGCTTCCTATCACAAACTCAATCTGCTAATCCACTAAATCACGAGGAAAATAATAATGCCCAGAAACCCAAACTAACACAACCGCGGACGCTGTCAAAGAACACAGCTCAGACAACCTATGATCCTCGGCTGCCCCGGGCCACTTGGGTACCTACTCTGTTCCTGGGAGCACAGGAAAGCCAACAGCTCATCCTAGACAGCACTGTGCCTCGTCCCCTCACTGCACCGGCTGATCCACTGTGATCCCTGCTGCTCAGAGCCAGCCCCGGGCGCTAACTGCTGAGCTGGGGCTCCGCGGGCCCTCGCATGCTGCGCTACACTTAGCTCGGATCTCTGACTTCGTCGTCCTCGGGGTCCTTCTCTGCCTTCATAACGCTGGAAAACTCTCTCCCCTGCTGTGCGGCACTGGAGTGAGAGCAGCCCCAGGGTGGCTACTGGGACTCCTCCTCTCTCTTATTCTGCAGAAGCTGTCCTTCAAGGCTGTCCCTTCCCGGGACTTGGCATCCTGCTCCCTCCCCACGGCCCCGCGCCACCAGAGCGGCACAACTGTCTGCACACATCGAGCGTCCAGTCAGCAGTGAGCCCGTCTCCCATTGGTCGGATCTATTTTAGATGCTATAGGCTCTGACAGCTGGGTGACAGAAAGGGGCAGCTAAGAATACATTGAAAAGGCATGCTTTTCCTCTGAGTAATGGCTCGCAGGCCTACTGGGCACCAGGACGCCAACATGTTACAAAACGTGCTTTGCCCATCGGAGCAGCTTGTGTGGCACATGACAACGCCGTGAAGAGAGAATTCGCTCACCCCACACGACGACGTGTAAACCAGTTTCAGTCTTGGGATTGTCTAACAGGAAGTTACCATGGCCTGGACAAACAGAGTGGAAACGTCTATTTCAAGCAATGTGTCACCCTTTAATTTAAGGAAACACACGCACAGCGACACGTTCAGACTTTCCCCAGGTTATTTCCTACCCGTCGGTCTCGTTCTGCACACAACCTGGGTTCGGCTTACAGCTGCTGCCAGCCTGTCTCCCCGCGGGGCAGGAGAAGAGCGGGGCACTGCCCAGGCACTAAACAGCAGCCATCCTCACAGCCACTGTCGACACACGTTAAATTTAACCCAGTGCTCTTCTCATTCCCAAGTTTAGCACCCTGCCTGATAGGACAAGACTTTATCAGTGAAAAATCAAATTATCTAGATTCAGGGGATTGAAAAACTTATTAAAGAGGGCAAACAACGCATTAAACAAAGAGCTAGACTGTAAATGACAGTCCACGTGGGCACAAAGTCAGACAACTTTTCTACACTCCGAGACCCATGCTGGCACTGACACGCCTTGCCCGATCAAAGCTGGTGCATTCGTAGGGCAACAGTGTGTGCGTGTGCACACATGTGCATGTATGTGTGTGTGTGTATTGCCATGTTCAAATGACCACGACAGCATGAGACGAAGGTCCACTTCCTCCAGAAGGACGCGTTCGGGAAAACTGCTTCATGGGAACACAAGGTTCATAGGAAGGAGGTCACTGCTCTACCACAGATCACGCTGCCAGATACAAATTCTGCTGTGGGGACCAGCAGTTAGCATAATGGCTATGTCGCTGGACTCCCACATAGTCAACCGCGGTTCAAGTCCCGGACTCGGTGGCTTAAACTCACGCCGGGCGCGTGTGCGTGTGTGCCCAAGATCCCGAGAGGAGAACGGAGGAGAAGGGACTGGTGTGGGGTGGCCATCCCCCCCCGGGGGGGGGGGATTTCTCGCTTTTTGTCTCTCTGTCTCTCTCTGTCTTTCTAGCGAGCGCAAGCGCTCTATAGCAAAAAACCTTTCAAAAAAAAAAAAAAATTCCGCTGTGGACGTCCACAAGAAACCCATTTCCTGCTATTGAACGTAAAACATCAGGCCCCTGTTCTAATTATAGAGCAGGGGAGGTCGTGTACCATGTCTGCTTGTTTCTGTTTGCCATGGGATGCATGCGCTCACCAGAGAGAGACTGAAAGAGGCGGTGAGAGGGGAAATGAGAAATCACCCCTGGGGGGATGGCCATGCCACAGTCCTGTTTCCTTCATTGTCGTCCTAGGATTCTAGGCACACATGCACATGTGACCAGTGTGGGGTTTTGTTTTTGTTTTTGTTTTTTTTGGAGAGGTTTTCGCTATAGGGTGCGTGTGCTCACCAGAAAGACAGAGAGAGACAGAGAGACAGAAAGCAAGAAATCACCCCCCAGGGGGGATGGCCACGCCACAATCCCTTCTCCTCCATTCTCCTCTCGGGATCTTGGGCATGCACGCACACGTGCCCGGCATGAGTTTAAGCCACCGGGTCCGGGACTCAAATCGCAGTCGACTACGTGGGAGTCCAGCGACAGAGCCATTACGCTAACTGCTGGTCCCCCCCAGTGTGGTTTTTTTAAGCTGCCAGATCTGGGACTCAGACCTTGGTCAGGCAAGTGGGAGTCCCGCGCCTTAACCGCATGCTACCCGCTGGCCCCCTGTATTTATTCTTTATTAAACCATGATTTGCTTTTGTTTCTGTTTTTCCAAAATCACAGGAATGCTATCTCAATGCAGTCACTTGGCTGGACCCTGAGTCTCCACCCAATTTATTACGCTCTTCTTCAGAGGAAGTCTGGGATAGAACTCAGGCCCTGCTCTTCAGTTAACAAAGATCACACGTTCTTCCTAGAAATAGGACTGCAAATCAAGGAAACAAAAAGGCTGGGGAAACCACACCATGGAGGGCGCGGTCCTGCTCGGGAGATGGCCCTGTGTGTCTGGTGTACCATGGATGTCCAGGGCGGCCACCTCCCCGTCCCCGTGGTTAATCTGTGTCCTAGTCTCACTCTGCATGGCTACTTCCCAAGACCTCGACATGAACCTGCTCCTCGCTGTCCCTGTGGCCGTGCGGTTCTTCCTCTCATTCAAGTTCTTCTCAAATGCCACTTCTTCAGAGGGGAGTTCTCGGCCCTTAGTTTCTTTCTTTCTTTTTAAAAAATTATTTATTTAACTTTAGCTATTATTATTTTTTAATTTGACGGGAGGAGAGGAAGGGAAAATGAGAAAGCAAGCTGCCAGGTCTGGGACTCGAACACAATCAGCAAAATGGGAGTCCAGCCCCTTAACCCCCACGCCACCTGCCAGCCCAGTCCAGTCCACCTGGCCACTCTCTCGGGTCCTCCCCTTTCTTCGGTGGCCATCGCCTCACAGGTGTGCCTCTCTACTGGCTACCACCTGTCTCCCAGCACCCTCTAATGAGCGGTAACGACGATCTCTGCTAGGTCTCTCTGAAAGCTAAGACTGGTTTTTAAGTAAGTTATGTAGCAGTTACTGGAGTCTCATCCATGCTAAAGACCATAATCCAAATCTGCTCCGGGAACCCTCTTTTCTTTGGGGCTAAATTAAGCAGGCCGGGTCTGGGACATGCATTTACTAGCCACACTGTTTCCCAGTAAACTGTCCCTGCTCAGACAACAAAGGCCTCCTGCCCCGAGGTGCTGGCAGGAGGCCCGGGAACGGCTCAGTCCACTACCCTGAGCAAAGAGACCCGACTCCTTACAGTCACTCGAGGGCCTTCTTCACGTCTAAGCTGCCGCACTTCGGCGCCTCGAGTCTTCTCTGCTCCACACACCCCGTGGGACTCCTGAGAAAGCTGTAAATAGTGGTTAAAGATATGTTCTGGAGTCAACCAAGCCTGCTCTGCTACCTGTCTGCCATGTCCTTGCGGGAGAATTTACTCATCTTTCTTTTTTCTGCCTTTTTTTTTTTTTTTTTAAGTTTTTTCCATAGGGTGCATGCACTGGCCACAGAGACAGAGAAACATAGAGAGGGAAAGTGAGAAATCACCCCCTGCGGGATGGCCGTGCCACCGCAGTCCCTTCTCCTTCATTCTCCTATGGGATTTGGGGCATGCCCATGCGCACGCGCGTGCACCCACACACACACGCGCGTGCCCAGCGTACTCTTCAAGCTGCCAAATCTGGGACTCAAACCTCAGTCAACCATGTGAGAGTCCAGCGCCTTCCCCACCATGCACCTTCTGGCCCAAATGTACTGCTATTTCTAGGCCTCGGATCCCTTAACTGCAGAAGGGAGGACGAATGGTGGCAGAGGGGTAACATAACTGGGCCACACAGGAAAGTCCGGGTTTGTGCCCAAGACCCGCTGCACACCCCAAGCAGGGGCAGGTGTGCACATGCGATGCCCATAACTGAGACTAGATACGGCTGGAAGGCGGACACTAACAGGACCCAGGCAGGAGTGCTGCGCTCGCTCTCTCTCTCTCTCTCTCTCTCTCTCTCTCTCTCTGAATAGGCAAACTTCCAGAGAATCAAAGATAATAAAGAAACTATTTGTATAAAGTCAAATAGCTAATGCCGACAGAAGGCCTCGGCACTGCATCTGGCAGGTAGTAAGGTCCATAAGCAGCAGGCACTGGCGATCGGCAGAAGTGTTCCCGGTCAGAGATACTAAACAAAGACAATCCTTTACAAAATAAACAAAGAAGTAAAATAAATTTCAAACATTTTTTCTGCCTTTCCTATATCAACTGTACCTCATAGCAAATGAATATTTGATGAAGGTAAATTTTATCTTTATAAAGGTATTAGAGCTAAAAAAGAAAAAGAATGAGGGCTAGCCAGGTGGGGTGCTGGTTAAGGCCCTAGATCCCACATGGTCAGCTGTGTGGTTCGAGCCCTAGACCTGCTGGCTGGGAAAAACATGCCAGGCATGTGTGCAAACATGCCCCAAATCCCAAGAGGACACTGAAGGGAGGACTGTGGCATGGCCAATCCCCTGAAGGTGATTTCTCACTTTCTCCCTCTTTGTCTCTTTCTCTCTCGTGAGCACAATGCCCTATAACAAAAACTGGGGGAAAAAAAAAGAATTTCCCCATATTGTGCTGCCTTGTAATCCCTACTCAATTCATGGATCCAGGCAATAGTCCTCGGGGGCTGTTAACATCGCAAATGACAACCTGATCTTACGCACTTGCTGGTGTTCATACACACACCCTTACCTACAAAGCAGTTGAAGGAAACCAGCATTCGTGACCCCAAATACAAGGCACTCTAAACTGAAGGCAATTAAGCAGCAGCAATTGCAGGAGAGGCTACCTGAACTGGCCTTCCTTCCTTACAAGACACCAGAAAAATGTGAGAGAAATGCAGGAAGGGCATGCTCTGTCTTCCCTGTTTGCCTAAAAGCAGGCCAGATAATCACAAAGATCAACAGTCTTCCTTCCTCCACCTGGCTGCTCTCCTCCCATGGCCTGAAGGGAAGCCCTACACTCTCTCTACTGCAGACAGCTTGTATCAGCTCAGGGGCTGCAGCAGGGGAGTGTGGGAGCAGACCTACTCCTGCCCAGCTTTCCTCTGGAAGCCGGGACTGCTTTCCTTTGTCCTGTCACTTCTCTGAAAAACTGTGGCATATATACTCTATGGAATACTACTCAGCCATAAAAACCAACAGAACCCTGGCTTTTGACAGAAAGTGGAAGAATATGGAAGATTTA